AAATTTAAAAATAGACTTAAATAACTTAATACTTACCTACTTTTGCTAAAAATAAGAGATTTTGAATTTAAATAGTTTCACATACAAATAAAATAAAATAAGAAATGAAATATGATTACCTTTTATTATGCAACCAAAATAAAAAAAAAATAAATAAATAAAAAAGAGAAATTTGCACCGCATTAGCTTGATTCAAATCTTAAATACTATCCAAGATATTAAATGTATCAACTCTCTATAATAAAAGGTAGGGTGTACCATGCTACTAATACAACTATTGCCGAGCAATCTTAATGTGCATCCTTATATTGCTTGGATACGTTAAACAAATTAAATTTTTTTAATTTATTTTACAAGACCAGATTTACAAATAGATGCAATATAAAGTGTTAAAATTTATTTTAAAATATAACCTTTAACAACTCTAATATAAATAAAATTAAATTTAAAAATAGACTTAAATAACTTAATACTTATCTACTTTTACTAAAAATAAGAGATTTTGAATTTAAATAGTTTCACATACAAATAAAATAAGATAAGAAATGAAATATGATTACCTTTTATTGTGCAACCAAAATAAAAAATAAATAAATAAATAAAAAAGAGAAATTTGCACCGCATTAGCTTGATTCAAATCTTAAATACTATCCAAGATATTAAATGTATCAACTCTCTAGAATAGAAGGTAGGGTGTACCATCCTACTAATACAACTATTGCCGAGCAATCTTAATGTGCATCCTTATATTGCTTGGATACGTTAAACAAATTAAAATTTTTTAATTTATTTTACAAGACCAGATTTACAAACAGATGCAATATAAAGTGTTAAAATTTATTTTTAAATATAACCTTTAACAACTCTAATATAAATAAAATTAAATTTAAAAATAGACTTAAATAACTTAATGTTTATCTCATTTTACTGAAAATAAGAGATTTTAAATTTAAGTCACATGACATAGTGATCGAATAAAATAAAAAATAAAAGATGATTGTCTCTTATTATGCAATCAAAATTAAAATAAAATATATATATTAAAAAAAAAATTTGCACCGCATTTCTTTATTCAAATCTTAAATACTATCCAAGACATTAAATGCATCAACTGCCTAGAATAGAATGTACGGTGGACCATGCTACTAATACAACTATTGCCGAACAATCTTAATGTGCATCCTTATATTGCTTGGATACGTTAAACAAATTAAAATATTTTAATTTATTTTACAGGACCACCTTTACAAATAGATGCAATATAAAGTGTTAAAATTTATTTTTAAATATAACCTTTAACAACTCTAATATAGATAAAATTAAGCTCTATTTAACTTTATATTTGAAACAATTACCAATATTGCTTTCTTTCTCAAATGTTTGGTTGCATACAATAACAATTATCAATTGTCAAATATTAATTTTAATCAATTTTAAACAGCTAAGCTAAACAAAGGTTTTAGCACTTTGCTTCATTTGTTTTGGTTATATTTCATATTGTAGCCTGTCAAGTAAAAAAATTATTGGTCATGCTCCTTACAAATTGAGTGAAAATAAGATTTATATTTACCTATATAGATGTTTTGCCTTGAATTTGAAATTGATTTTCAGTTAGGACAGTAAAAAGATCTATTGATTCAGACTATAAAAGGACAAAAACATAGTTAATAAATATTTATGTACTCATGGTTTATTAATTGGATCTTCTTCTTTTCAAATCCTCAACTAAAAGTGACATTATAGATGAACAAGTCACCCAATCCAGTGACAAGAATATTGAGTTGAGATTATTCACCTCATGTGTAGATGATGTATTTAAATCTTACGATCCCTTTTCTCCTTCCTCATTAAATACATGTAAATAATTTTAATCTCTTAAAAAAAATGACATTATGGACTATTTATTACTATTTTACTAGTTCTGGGGAAGCCATTACAACTAGGTAATTCAGTTTAAATCTTGTAAAAATTTAAGCATCATCGTTCATAGTTGTGGGTCTATATTATCCAAAGGTTGTTGGGATTGGAAACAAGAGGCAAAGGAAGAGAGGATATGAAAATGAAACCCAACAGTAAAACTAGCACAAAACAAAATACATAGTAAGAATTCAGAGGAGGACGGCCTCATCTTTTGAACTACCATAACAAACGCACACACATAATGACATAATACATTCCAAAAGTCACCAAGCCTAAACGGTAAAACCACACTATAGAACGCACAGAGCCACAAACAGAACTAAAAACTGCGAGAAGTAGAAAATCCCAAATGCGCAAAGTTATGGTGGTGGGGCTGAAGCCACCCCACCCATTCATGGTGGAGTCAGGGGAGTGAGAGGCCCAGATCCAGTAGATCCACCAGGGAAAGTAGGCCCAACAGGAGAACAGCCGGTCCCCGGGAAGGAGCAGAAGACTGATGGTCCAAGCCCAAACCCAAGACCTCCACCGGGGCTGGGGAAGAAACTGCCGGAACCAATCCCGCCGACGAAGTTCTGGGGATGCTCAACCTCATCTTTGAGTTTTCTTCCTCCCACGGCGGAAGGAAACACCACAAGCAGAAGAATTGCCGAGGCCAAAAGCACTTTTGAAGTTCTCTCCATTAGCACACCTCTGTTTCTCACTCACTGTCACTTATGCTTAAAGTACTGGGGGAGAGTGACCTTGGCATTGCCTGTTGCCCCCATCTTATATAGTCCAAAAATTTCCCAGCTCCGGCATAGCTGTCCCTATTCTCTTAGCATAAATGGAATGGGTACTGATTCTTTTCACATGGATATTGTTAAAGGCAATGAATATTAGACTTTTTATTTTGTTAAATTGTTTTTTCGCCACTTGAGCGAGAACACAAAAGTGGCAAGAGTAAGGTTAAAAAAGATATATATTTTGTTAAATGAAGTGAATCCTAAAAATAATTTGACAAAAAAATATTATAAAAATATAAAATATTAGTAATTTTATTATCGATTTAAGTAATTCAACAATTATTTTTTTTTTGTTAAAAATAAAATATTTTATATTTGAATAGTATGATATCTCAGTAAAATGAGATAAAAAATAAAAAATGATTATCTTTCATTGTATAATTAAAATCAATATACATATTAGTGGCCTTAATCATATTTTCCTGGCATTAACTGGGGTCATAAATGTAGCATTAAAATTTCTCCAACTTTTCACTCAAGGAGCAAGGATCGACTTAGATACCACGATAAAAAAAATTACCCTCCCCTCCGGGGACCACGAGCCTGTCCAGTTCAGGAAGATTTTAAGATGTTGTTTATGATCTTTTCACCAACCTGGAGAGGGACAAGTAAAGGGCTTTTAAGGCATCTGCTTCTTTTAGTTTGAATTGAGAACACTTTCTGTTTTTCTTTACTGTCTCATACCTACTCACTCAACTGCCACCAGTAAGTTTTCCCCCAAGGGAAGTGGGAAGGAGGGAAAATGGGCGGTGTGCTGATTGCAGAAGACTCTGCCGCATAGCATGTGTGGTTTAATTTTTTTTTAGGTTAAAACTCCTTTTTGGTCCCTGAACTATT